TTACTTTGCAACTGCCAAAACAAGATGAAAGGCTGCCTCCATGGAAATACAAGATGCTTGGCTCAAGTGGCTGTTTTTGCATTTCAGTTTGGTAATTTCCTTCCTCCCCTCATTTGGATTGATAATATCAGAATGTTATATGTTTAAATATTAGAGTACCTTTTCCTTCGTTGTGGTCCTTTTCAGTGATAGCAGTGCACTTTATTAACCACAGGTCTACCAAGAATTTCTGAGCTATCGTAGCTCAAATGAATATAAATAAATATTTCTGGAAACTTCTTTAGAAAAATATTTAGAGCAAATATTTTTCAGGTAACAAGGAGATTTTGGATTTAGTTTTAAATTCTACTGAATTGAAAGATTATGCTAATCTTCCCAGGTCTTGCAGCTACAAGAGTGTAATTTCTGAGCTCGGCTTAAGAAACTGTTGGATTCTGATTAGTGATTAAGCGTGGTAAATATCACCAGTTGAGAAAATTTCAGCTCAGAACATTACAGAAATGCTTGAAGATTTTCTTGAAGAGTAAATATAATACAAATATTTTACCTATAGGTGCAAATAAAGGCCTTTGCAGAATTATTAGTTCTATCAAATGAGAGCACAAGGGAGTGTCTAACTGACAGTTCAACAAATGAGATCTTTGCCTCCATCCAGCTTTTTTATGCCAAAGTTGCATTAAAAAATCTAATAAACTTGTTTTTTTTTTCTGTGGAGAACGCCCCTTAAAGCAGGAAACATGAGAGGTGTTCTGCAGCTATCTGGGATAGTTCTTCAAGGTGCAGTATATGGAGGGCATTAGGGAAGAAAACAGCAGCGGCTCGGAGCGCAGCAGTGCAGTATTGCAAACTCTGCAGCTCGTATAACAGCCCATAGAAGCAGCCGTAATCTAAATCTTGTCTGCTCTAGAATGCATAATTTTAGTTTTAGCTGCTATAATTCCTTCCTGTCCCCAACTTGTGTGCATGCAGTATATGCTACAGTATTTACTATATACTTTGCTAATACACCTTAAAACCAGTTTCTCAAACAGAGCGGCCTACAACAGGGCTTTTTGCCCATATGCAAACATTTGTATTATGTTATTCACTAGCACAGCTGGTACTATGATAGTTACATGACAGTAAGAACTGATTATATTCTAGATAGGCCCTTCACTGTTTTCCGGTGTGCACTGAAGGCCACGCCAGGCCTTAGCTCAGGCTTAAGAGAATGCAAGAATGTGTTCAGTTAAATGTAGCTGTTCCTCTTTGCCTTGGGAGTTTTGTCCTGTGTCTTACGGAGCTGCAGAACGGAGCTGCAGAAGGACAAGCATCTACCTGCAGGGGTGTCTGACAGATTATGATGTTTTTAAAAGCTGTTGTCCTAGTTGCGGGGGTGGGGAGGTCAAACGATTACCATTTTCTGAAGAACATCTCAGATGTACTGTTTTCACGAGCGCATTTTTTGTGTCACTAACAACTAAAATTTTCAAGGAAGATTGTGATATTGCCCATGCAATACCACAGACCAGTGCCCATGCCCATGTGTTGCAAGACATAATATGAGGGCAAACTAGAGAGTTGTTCTTAGAAAACTTTATGGATCAGATAAAAATATTCATTGGTGACTTTTCTTGAAACAAACTATACAACGGGCTTGTTTGAAGAGACTTACATTATCAAACAGAAATGCAGTATTGTTTTAAGCGATAACCTGTGAAATACATCTTAAAAGAATCATTTTAGTCTGTAACGAGTGATCTTTTTGTCCATGTAAGAACATCTTAATCTGGTATGAATTCATAAAGAATTCAGTTTGTAAGGTAATAGGAGTAGTATTTCGTATAAAAACCATAGTATGCCTCTATTGGAATAATAACTTCTGGTATTTAAAGGGTTTTACAATTTCTTGTTGGATCTGAGAGCTTTGTGCAAACATTTCAGAAAATGTGACTGCTAGTATAAGCAAACGCATCGGAGTTCAAAATATAACATGGAAGGAAAACAAAAACATAGTGCAGTTGTCAGAGTTATATCACCAACCTAGTTAAGTTTCCACGTTAGAGAATATTGTAAGAGAAAATCTCATCTACAGAAAGTAAAAAAAAAAGTTTAGTGTTTCAGTAAGATCATCCAATTTATGGGAAATATTATGATAAAATAAAGAGGAAAATGATGTTCACAACTTTGCAGAGATGCAGTAAGCCATATGCATTGTAATATACAGATTGCAGAATGAATGTTGACTGATCTGAGATATCCACCTTGTGCAGCTTGGCACCACACAGAGGTACCAATTTAGATACAGTGTGGAATCCAGATAAGTTTATCTGATGCTGAGTCTCCTGAAGACTGGCTGACTTAACTCAGATGCGGTGCCACTGGGGGCAGCTCTGACTGTGGGGATAGTGGTCCATCACCACCAGAACTTTACAAACCTTGCTAAATTTTCTTTGGTCATTCTGTCTTATTAGGAGTATGCAGTACTGCAAAATGCATGTTGAGGTGCATAGTGCATAGTGGTTTAAGAAAATAATATCATACAAAACAAGAACAGTATAGGCTATTCATGATCAAGATAATGCTGACAAGATAACATTGTTATATGCTGGAAAATGGAAAAAATGGAAAATGGAAATGAAAGGCCAGCGAAATTACTGCTGAGGGCTACTGCACAGTGACATGAATGACTGTGTGAGAACACTAATGTATTTAACTGTTCATATAGAAAAAAATTCTCTCTCAAACTTCTCACAAGTTGTGACTTGTATTTGGGAGTTTTTGCTGGTTATCCACAGTTTTGCAGGTACAGGTATGTAGGAACTCAGGCTGAGAAAATGACCATGTAGGAGAGAGTGAGAAGGCCCTTTATAAGGTATTGGCCTTTTTCTCTGTTTTCAAGTGAATAACATCTAATTTGGAACAACTAAGTATTCAGGACTTCCCAGTTTTGCTGCTTATTAAAGTATGTAGAAGCATTTAATAAGCCATGTAGTCAGCCAAATTTGAAAAGTCATGAATCAGTGAAAATAATTAAATATCAGAATAAATCAATCTTGGGTTGTACTGATATCTTTACAGCCTTATCCATTCTTTTAAATCATCTTAGCCTTTAGTATTAACATACAAAAAACATGTAAAAATTGCTTGTGACCATAAACTGTGTGCCTTAGATTGGGAGAGTTTTGTAAGACCTGCCAAGGAAAGAATGGCTTTATAAATCTCAAAAAATAATATATTGCAGATGAGTTTTGATTCGTATATATAAAATCTGTAATAGTTGATACTCTGTCAGTTTATTCTGCATTTAAAGGGTTTTGTATTTATCAGCTCTGATATTTTTGGAATAAGATAGTTGTGGCCAGTTATTAATATTTCAGATGCCTTAGGAATTATTTGTAATTACTTACTTGACATGAACCAGTTTGCCTACATCTTTGATGGAGCTATTGTACTCTGCATGACAGGCTGAAGTCCTGGAATCCTTTCATTGTCGTGCCTTGCATTGCAGAGAGCTATGCCTTGATTTGCTTTCCTATTTATTGTTTAATCTCTTTACCTAGTTGATAATCTTTTTGGTGCGGTACATATAAGAAGTCATCCTCCTTTCATACGTCATAATCTTCCTCCTGTATAATTTGTAATCTAAATCAACAATACCTCAGATGTTAGAACAGCACTTATGTCAGGCTGTCATTTGCCCCTTTGATGCTTACTTACCTAATCAGTAGTAATCATTATTTTCCTTCTGCAATTACTATAATGGAACTGATTCCTGAAATGGAAAACAGAAGACAGTTATAGACAGTTTGGAGGGCGCTGTCAAGCTTTCACAGGGGCAGGCACATTTCATGGAACTTTTATATTGGTCAGAATTTGCCCAGAAATGTGCTTGGTGAAGGAGTAAAGCAGGCATCCGGTCTGTATTTTCATGTGATCCTGTTTCAGCTGCTTGGAAATACAAGATTTTCCGAATAGGTACTTTCTGGGTGGCCTGCTTTGCCCTGCTTGTTTCCTACAAAGTGTGAAAGAAGAAAAAAAGAATGGATTCATCAAAATCCTTTTTTACGTGGAAGATTTACGTGGAAGATTTTACCAATTAAAAACCTAGTTGTGTTCATTTGAATTTCTAAGAGGTTATTGAAATAGAGGGAAGAAAAAAAGAAATGAAGAACTGAAATACTGGCTCTTATGATGCAAGACCATTAAACCATTTTTTATGCTTTCTTTATCACTTAATGCATCTTGCAAATGCCATCAGATTACCGTTTAAGTAGATATTTTTAAATATCTGCAACGCTAGTATGCTGAACAAGGTAGCAAGAGAAAAAAGTTTCTTATTCTTTCCACTTGGATTTTAAGCTGAAATAGTCACTCAACATCTGTAACTGTGCTGCAGTTAAAAGTCCTTGTGTTCGGGGGGATCTTGGTGCTCGCAATCAGGTTGAGCATGGTAATGGCAGGCACAGCAGGCAATTCAGATCCAATATGCTGAATGAGAAGGTGAGTGTTTTAGCACAGCTGCCTCCTGAGGGTCAGGGGAAAAGCCCAGTGGGAGGATTTTCAAGCACCACTAAGCTGGCACACCAGGAGACGATGACTGACTTTGGAAGAACTGGGCTGCGCAAAGGACGGTTGTGCAGTGGTCCACTTTATCACTAGCTAGACATTTCTTTTGGAGAAGCAATAAGTTTCTTCAAAAGAAAGGCAGCAAAATAAACAAATAAATAAAAAATCCTGAAATAACTGTCTCTGATGACATTGAGGTCTGGGGATTTGTTTCTGTTCCTAACAGCTTCATTGATTTGGCAGTTAATTTCATTAGAAAGATTGACTCTGTGTGGCATCAGTAGGAATTCTGTATGAAAATCAGATGACCTGATGATGCTGAATTGTTGTTTGTCTTAAAAAGGGATGTTATTTTGAACCACAATGCTAAAGGGAAATTTAATTTCTATTTGAAACATACGGTCAGAAATACACAGCACGGTTTCAGTCTTAATACCTGCATTTCTTTGCAGGAGTTCAGGCATGCACCACAGAATGGCTCAAAGTGGAAAGCACACCCTTCTGCTGAGATCCCAGTGAAAACACCGTTCAGCTCCAGGATGCCTTTGCAACTCCTGTGGCCACAGGAAGGAGGTGGACTGAAGATACTGTCTATCAGTCTAGCTTTACTGGCAGTTCTTGTTACGTTTTACTATGGAGGGATGTAAACAGAACAATGAACTGAAAGAAGCTTTTCTGAAAACAATAAAAGTGCTGTTTAAAGTCTTCAAATGAAATACTTTAACCAACAACTTTCTTAAAATATATATATATATGAAAGTTGTACTCCTCCTACGCCTTTCCTGTTATTTACAGCTCTAGAGATACCTCTCTGCCACTATTTGAAAACTTTGGTTGGTATATCAAAAAAAAGTTAGTCACATCTTTCCTCTTCCTTCTTTTTCTGAAATGATGCAATGTTTGCATTATTTATTCTTTCATATCTGCTGTTGCAGGTAAAATTGCATAAAAGAAACTCATGAAATTGTTAAGGAATCTTTCCATTGAGTGCTGTTGGTAATCTTTTATAGGTAGAACATTTAAAGCTTCCTTAAAAGATTTTGCTTAATACAGTGTGATGGTTTGATATGTGTCTTTTTACATTAGAATCAGATATTAAATATAAAGACTACTGGGCCATTAAAGTCTGTCATTTGTTGCTATTGATTGTGCTGTGAATTTTTGGCCTGCCATCTTGCCTCTGTCCAGTTCAGAATGAGTTATTAAGCTTTTTTAATGCAACAAGAATTAATTTTTACAAAGCAATAGTTTGAAAGGTATTGTTTTTTATTACTGTATGGGAAGATGGAGGTCTGGTGGTGGAATTCTGCTGGAAGGTGGATTTAAAACATTCTCTTTGGCCCTAATATAATGCCCAGAGAGCCAAACATGAATCTTGTATTAGCTGTGCATTGCATGAGACTGTGTATAAGAAAATACTGCTTTCTTAGTGAAGAGGTTACATTTTACACACTGCATATTTGTACTTACCTTCTGCAGCAGTTTCTGTTGTGGCAGGATCTTCACACATCTTGAGATTGTGCTGGTCAGTCAGGGATGGGAGAACATGCCCAGCTGTGGGGCAGCTGACCCCACAACATTGTTCATTTCCTCATTCCCTGTCACCTTGCTGGATCTTTACCCAAACTTCCACTTGCAAAGTCAATTTAAAGTCCTAAGGTCAGGGACTGTCTTTTTTAGTAGAGTTTTTGTGTAGTACCCAGTACAGACTCAGCTGAGCTCCCTACATGGCTCTGCAGTGCAGATAATTATTCCCCTGGGAAGGATGCTTTGGGCTTTACAAGGTTCATAACAGGGTTCATAACAATTACAGACAAGTAATCTGGAAGTTCCACCGTGATTTTTCCAGTACAGCCTGTAGATTATAAAAACAAATGTAACCTTCTTCAGGAAACCAGGTATGTAATGACTTAAATATTATATTTCTTATTTCAACCACTGAAGGTCATGAGCCAAGACTCAAAATGAGATTTAAGAAAAAAAAAAGTGCTCTAGATTTGCTTCTAGTTGTCTTTTCAGGCTTTTATATACAACCAGGAATATGTAAGAACTAGTTACTTCCATTTTTAACAGATTGGAAATTTTCAAAAAAACCCTTTTGACTGCAGGAGCTGAAGTTTTCAGGAAAGCACCACATATTTCTCAGAAAAACTATGAGTTGACAAAATTATTAAATCCCAGTCAAATCTTTACATTTGATGGCAGTAGACTGTGCAAATATGTTCTATGCCTCTAGCAGTCTTGCTGTCAGCCTCTCTAGCTTATCATAAAAATTACAGACTCATTGCATAAACTGTTACAGAGATTTAAAAAGCTTGTGATTTAGATTCTATGCATCATTGGCTTTAATGGGAACAACTTATTTTCTCGGTAATAATGCAACATATAGAAAGAAGGTGAAGATTTGTCTATAGATAAAATTATCCACATATGCAGTATATTCTTAAACTGAGCTTTCTGCTGGTATGTAGAAAATATTTGTTATCAAGTATGTTATCATCTTCCTTTAGATTTTGAGAAGGCTTTTTGACACTTTATCATAGAAAAAGAGAGCATTCTTTTGTTTCCATTTATCTACAGCTGAAGCTTTTAAAAGCTACTGAGCTAAACAAATTAATTTTGATCAAACAGCTCACCTGAACCTTCAGGCAAAACTCCAACTGTGCGTTGCTTGAAGCTACAGTTGAGGGCCACTGGGAAACTTCAGTGAGCATAGTGTGAAGTAACTCTGTCTACTGTATGGAGCAGGTTGACCTGAACACATTTGATCTGTGATTTTTTGCTCACATTTGGCTCTGTAAATGTGTCAGGTGATGTTTTTAATTTTTACAACAGTATTATGTTTGAGGCTTACCTCCACAAAGTTCTTTCTCTTTGCCAGCCACCGGACTGGGGGACAAATCCGATACACTCTGATTTAATGAGGACGTTGCAGGAGAAGTTTAACCGAAGTCAGAACATGACTCTTACATATGCATAAATACACTCATCAACAGAGAATATGTCTAGCTAATAAGCAATCTACCTTCAATGTCTTTTCTTTATTTTTTTTAAAGCAAAGGAGAACCTAATTTCTTTGTGATACCAAGAAAGTCTCAATTATTTTTCTTAATATCTGTGGTAGCTCTGAGTCCTCTTTAGCTGTTTCCAGTGAGGAATCTTGCAAAGCACAAAACTTGAATAGCAAGGACATCATGAATCTCTTCTGAGCAACATTAAGCATACTTTTTTGTCCTATGTATGCATGGTTTTGGATGCTGGAGGGGTTTGTCATTTAATCTTTTTGTTAGTGGTATTAATGTTATCCTTGTTTACAAAAAGAACATAAAATAAAAATTATTTTTGTCTGCAAGGCTTGTTATATAAAGAAAAAAGAGAGAGAAAGGAGGAGAAAGTACCTTTTGAGGAGAGTTCGTCCACCTCTGTCACATCATTGCCTGCACGTTTCTGAGCACCTGACAGCTTCTGTTAATTTAGTTTCACTCCCCAGTTCAACCTCCCATATGGAAAGCTGGAGTGATTTTTGAGTAACAGCAAGTAATATCTGAAGTGGCAGCAACTGGCAACTCTGACATTGAGCTTGGCTGTGGCCATTACCCAGAATCCTTCCTCTCTCCTTGAGAAGCAATTACAATTTCACAGGTTGGAATTAAAATTCCCTGCAGTATGCAATAGAGTAACTGAAACTGTCAAAGTGATTTCAAGCTGCTAATCTCTTGCTGCTCTGAGAGTGAAAATAGAGCCCCTCTTACCCATGCACAGGTCTGACAGCTTAAAAACTCCAGATTTCCAGTACATTTAAATACATATGGAGAGTGGCTTGATCTGCTCACACAGAGGATATCTATAAAGATGTTATGTCTATGAACATTTGTGTGTTAATAACAAGCCTGTCTTTTTTAACTTTATGATGTGGGTAACTTCAGGGACTAAGACAAAGATAAAAGAAGTCTCATACAAGAGATCTGAGAATTTGGAGGGATGAGTAGGCATGTGCCTGTCTGTGTGAGGTTCCTGTAAAATCTTTATTTAGATATTCTTGAACATGCAATATTTTTTGCCAAAAAAATGGGTTACGAGTTTCCTGAATCTTATTTTTAAATATTATTTGTATCCAAGTTTTATTATGAGTGCACTTTGGTTTACTTTATAGATAAAACAAAAAACATTTAGAAATCTCTAAATTGAAAGAAATACCAGTAGGAAAGCTGCAAAGCAGGTTCAAACTAGGGCACAGAGCCCACAGAGTTAGAGATCAGCTGCAAAACACCATTTGACTTGTTTGGAGACAGGGTTCACCCGCTAGGTAATTAAAATTAGAATGATTACTGGAAAGTGGGTTTGTACAAATGTCACTTAATGTCTTCTTTTAGTTACTTATTTCATTTATGCAGGTGTAACTTCAAAGTGAATCCTTTTTTCTTCAGAGTAAATGAAGACACTTCGCTAGCTGATGAAACAGAGAAGAATTATGAATAGTTCTATTTTAATTTTAGCCTGATAGAAAATAAAAAACCTAGCAAATAATCATATCTCTGCACCTGCTTGCATTGCAACGTCTGTTAGCTCCCACTTGGGAAGCTGTGGTTTTGATTTTGGACCTTTAATGCTGTAGTTCTCATAGCACTGTGTTGTGACAAGCTGGATGTCTGAAAAGAGATGAAGATGCCTGTGTTCCCGTCAAAAACCTAATCAAACTGATGGCAGAAAAGATCCTCAGATCTCTTTATTTGGCTATTCTGAACCTCTCTCTTGCGCCTTTTTCCATGTGCACATCTCTCCATTCTCTCTCTTCTGTCATTCAGATTCTCTTCTCATTCTCAACTCTCTTCTCATTCAGATTCTCCCAAGAACTCCTTTATCAATGTCAGGAACTATAAGAACAGTTCTGCAATGTGTTTAGTTAAGTTTCCATGTGATCCTCTTAGGAAACAATGGTAAGAAAGAGGAAGCTAAGGATATTTGGTCCAGTGGTTAAGGTGTTTTGAATGATCAAAGAGCATGAGATACTCTTGTGCAACAGTATAAGAGCTGTGTTAGCACCTAAAATAGATCATTAAGGTTTATCTTGTGCATCCTCCTCTTTCTCCACTAGCAATCATTAGTTGCTTCCTTTTATAATCGCACTTTGTATATACTGCTTGAAGAATCCAGAGTGACTAAGTTACCTGTTTCAGGGCAGACTGAAGTACAGTAATAACACAGTCTGAAATAAGCAGGTAGATGTAGTCCCCCAAAACAAGCAACAAATGCAGCATCATACACCTCTTTTTGTCATATGGCTTAGTCTTGTATTCACAGCTGACCTTTTCCTTGGAGTTTTAGTTGTTAACATGCTAATTCCGGGTGTCAGAATCCCCCTGTGCAGAAAGCTAATATTAGAAAAACAAAAAACAAAAAAAAACCCTTGTCTGTGTTTAAGTAAAAGAGGGTATTATTTAGTAGCTGCACCACCAGATAAGTACATTAGCAACACAGAAGGGACCAAAATATTGCCCACTGACAACCAGAAGCTCTTCTTTGCAACTTTTTCTTCTTTTCTCTCAATACTTAATCTATGCTTCTAGGGTGTCTTTCTGCCCTGGCAAAACTTGACCAGATCAGGAGTGGAAAGATCAGTGGTTTTTGGTGGTGGTGGTCTGGGGTTTTTTCCCCCACAGTGGAGGAGAAACAAGATGTGTGAATCGTGCCCCACAAATGGAGAAAGGATAGCATTTGGGGATCTACTTGACAGTCTCTATTTTCTTGGAAACTATTTAGTGATGATAGCTGTTCTTCTTGAAAAGCAGTGTTAACGCAATATATATATTACAGAGTATGGTCTTGGACGTTTTGCTGAATGCTGGTTGCAGGTAATGGAATAAAATCCCATGCTGGTGACCAGAGAGGGATTCAGACTGGTGCTTACAACTTGCCTACTTTAAATGTTCCATCTGTCATCGAGTGTGAGAACAGGCTGGTTGTGCTCAACTGAGCATAGAATAAGTGTTTACTCCCTTCCTGGGTGGTGGTAGTGGTGGGGACTGGTGTACAAATGGTTAGCTTGCAATGAGTTACAGATTAGAGGAGAAGTCTGGGGATGATGAAACACACAAGAAAGGTGGCCATAATTTTTTAGTGCATAGTGCAAGTTGGGGGGCTGAGGGAAATGCATGTGTTGAAATCCTGACATCGTGGGAAATTTAACTTTGCATAGTTAGGATCTCATTATAGTAAAATCTAAAGAATAAGACTGTTTTATGGTGCTTGGAATACTTTGCTGCACAGACACCCTTTCCAACTGCTCATAACTCTTGAGGTTACTGTGGTGCATTAGACCGGTTCGTTTCACCACGCTAGCTACTTCACACTAGTATCCCAGAGGGGAAAAAAAAAAAACCAATCCATCTCGTCTGGACTCTATCTGTGATCCAGGCATGTGCAGGGTTTTATGAAAGAGGGCACTTCAGCTAATTACTGCTATCACCCTGTTTGATCAAAGCATTATATTTGTTATTGCAAGGTAAGCAGGCAAAATGAGTAAACTGTGACCAGCTAAGGAACTTGCTTGGTCCAGTGGCATTCAGTAAATTATACGTACCATTTAATGACTGCAAACTTGGAATGTTCGCTGGGTTTTTTTGTTTTCAGAGCACCTCCATTCCGTTTCTTCCCTGTGAGGCTGCCTTCTCTCTTATCCTCTCTTCCAGTGGAAGCTGCTTTGCCTGAGCTATCAAAACCTCATTTGATTTTATGGACAATGATATGTCTTCAAAAGATACATACTAGTCTGAGCAAGGTGGCTACTTCCCTGGAACTAAGAATGCTGCTTTTCTTATGGAGCTGATTTGCTAGAGGTATCAGCGCTTGGAAGCTGTTGTGTCGCAGTGTCTCTGCTCTAACTGTACAGTGTCTGGTTGCCAAAGCCTTGGGTTATATCAGAAACTCCTGTTTGTTAATAAGCGGTATTGAAAGGCCTCTTCTGTTGTGCTATGTTCTTTTTAATACTGCAAACTCCAAATTTAGTAATTCAAAGCAAGAGATAAAATACATCATTGATGTCAGTTGATCATATTAAATTTGGTATCCGCTAGTGGCTTTATGAGCCGTAAAAGTCAACATCTAACAATGATTAACTACAGGATCTCTATACAAGTGATTATAAAGGGCTGTGTGTGACATGGTCTGCAGAGTATTAGTATGAGACAGCAGAAAGACACAAGTGAGCAAGTTACCGAGTCAACTATGCAGACAACCAATAGCAAAGAGAAGGATGTTCTTTCTAAAGGGACAGCTTATACTCCAAGTATTACAGTAATATTAAGGAAATAAAGAAGACAGATAGCAACTTGGTTATGCTGCAGCAGCCTTAATTTGCTTCTGTCCTGCTTGGATTATTTCGTAGGCAGAGAAGGCAATCTGAATGATAGTCTCCAGGAGAAAGGTAAAACAGACCCTAACAGTGGTTAGCAGCTTTAGCTGTCTGAGAAATAAATAAATTGGTACAGGGTTGAACGTCCTGCAGTTCCCTATCTCCTCCCTGTTCAGCTCGAAAAAGACAGGCGTCCTAGTCATTTATTTATTTTTCTGTAAATTTATTTGTATTCTGCAAATACATGTTCATGTTCCTGAAAGCTTTCTACTTTACCTAACTCTGAAATAATACCAAACAAAATCATTTACTCATCTTTTTTTATTATTTATTTGTAACGTCATTTTTTTTGTGTTTTGTTTCATGCCCTTTGAACCTGAAACAAATAGCGCCCTACTTGTGGGAGGAGAGGATATATTGCTTTAAACCTAAAGCAGAAGTGTTAATTGGGCCTGTGGACCAGTACTAAAGGGATCAAGAAAATCAAGCCTAGCTGTCAGTCAATTTACTATATTTGCTATCTATATTTACTAATTTACTATATTTACAGATTTAGGTTACATACTGAAAATTAGGGGTTGCATTCTGAAAATTGTTGAAGTTAACTAATCTAAATCCATTGAGAACATTTCCAGGTACTATCAGTTTATGGTGACACATTAAAATCAGACACACAGATGTTTTGATAGCTTGCCCAGTGTAAATCTGTGGAGAAAACCAGCGTCAGTGTAGAATTACCACTGCGGGAGTATTATACATTGCTTTCACTGTCAAGGAGCCTTTTCTACAGAATTACTGCTACTCAAGATGAAAAGGAAACAATAAGCTCTAAAGAAGAGAAAGTTCTTAAACTTTGTGAAAAGCAGGTATCTTGTGCCTTTATACAAATATTTATGAAAAAAGTAGTAAATTGTTTTTTCTCAGTT